AAAAAAATGAAATGAAATGGCTTTTGAATTTAATCCATTTTTTTTAGGTTAAAATCCATTTTTTTTAGGCTAAAATCCATTTCAATGTTTCTTTTATTTTATTTTATTTTATTTCCCAAAAAATTCAAACTATTTATTATATTTTTTTAAAAGCTTTTTCCTTTAAAAACTTTCCTAACACTTACAATTTCAATTTCTTTTTTTGCCACAAATAAATGATTTATTTTAATTGAACGATTTTCAGAAGCGATGAATAATTTCTACTCTTTTTAAATCTTTCCTATTTCTTTTTCCGATAAGTTCATTTCTTCCTTTTTAATGCAAATCATTAGCTTTTTTTTATTTTAAATTAAGTATTTGATTTTAAGTATATTTAATTAGAAATGAAATTTTAAAATGAAAATAAACACAGAATTAAAATTACTAACCTAAGCAAGACTATATTATGTTATTAATTCCATTTGATTATCAATTTTATTAATTGTTAATCCCATTGATTATCAATTTTATTAATTCCATTTGATTAAACAAAGAAATCATTTTTTTCTCAATTTCAGCTTTACTTAATTTTCATCAAATATATACCTTTTTTTTCATCTATCTGCCTCTCTTAATTTTTTGAAATCTTTACTGTTTTTATTGAAAAATTCTATTTTTAAAAATTTTCATATTTTTCATTTTATAAGTTAGTGAACTTATTAAATTGGAATACTTGAAATCATTGTGATATAATGATTTATTAATGTGGAATACTTTGGAATCATTGTGATATAATGACTTATTAAAATGAAATACTTGAAATCATTGTGATATAATTGATTTCACCGAAATTGAGCAAATATTGAATTTCATAATGAACACTTGAAATTCTTACTTCGCTATGCGTTAGCACAAATATTTCCAATTTCTTGTAAAGAATTAATATATAAAGTTGGAAAATATTATTTTAAAAAGAGAAAAATTACAAATACAAAGTAAAAATTAAATTAAGGTTTCATTTTAAATCATTTAATTATGTATTTTTGGGAAAAAATTTCGCTAATTAAATATGCTAATTGTTTAATTTCACATTTCAAATATATATTATAATTTATTATTCAGTTAAAATTTCATTTTTACTTTTAATAAGATAAAAAATTTCCTCTATTCTTATCCTAAAATAATTAAGTTTAATTAATTAAACAACATTATACAACCAACTAACTAACTAACTAATTAACTATAAGTGATAAATGAATTAAGAGAAATCATGATAAAAATACAATCATGATAATAATTTCTCGTGATTGCAAATTTAGGAAAAATGACGATGATATTGTCTAGATGCACTTATACATATCATATCCATTTAATTATTTACCTTCACGATAACTTTTCTCATGTGATAATTTAAGTTTTGTTTTCTTCACTTTTCCATTATCACAACATTATACAATTAACTTACTACCTAATTAACTATAAGTGATAAATGAATCAAGAGAAAACATGATAAAGATACAATCATGATAATGATTTCTCATGATTGTAAATTAAAAAAGAATGATGATATTATTTAGATGCACTTAATACATGTCATATCGATTTAATTATTTACGATAACCTCACGATAACCTTTTTCGTATGATAATTTTCATTCACTAAGTTTTGTTTCTTTCACTTTTCCATTATCTCTTATTCACTTCAAAGAAATTACTTTAATAATTTCTAATTAATAAATTAGTCCATTTATTATCTTTTTGTCTTTTTATCATTCAAATTTGAAATATTTCATTAATTATATTATTAATAATATTAAATATTTAAATTTACAAGTAATAATTACTAATAAAAGAGTGTCAAATTTCCTATTTAATTTATTTCAAATTTCAAATTTAAAATTTATTTCAAATTTACAACGAATTTTAATCGATAAAAATTTTTGAAGGAAAAGAATGAAAGAAATTGTTTTAAAAAAATTTCTGAAAATCTTTCCCAATTTTTTGCATTCGAATATTTAGACAAACGAAAAAAGATAGATATAATGTGATAAGAGGAAAAAAAAAAAGATTGAAAATAATTTTATAAAGTAAGAAATAATAAGATGAATTAGAAGGAAAAGAAAAGATGATGAAGAAAGAAAAAGGAATGAGAAGAAGAATGAAGAAGAGGAAAAGGAAGTGAAAGAGGAAGGGTAAAGAAGGATTGCATAACATCTATTATGTTCGAATATTATATATATAAATTAGAGAATATAGTAGTTATCATAAGCTTCAATGCTCGAACAAACGCTTGAACAATTATTAGTTTCATATGAAATTAGTGATAGTAAACAAATCGCTGTTGAAAATTTGAAAGACTGACTGGTAAGGCTTGTAAGACTAGCAAGACTACTACGAATAACAAGACTAGTAAGGCTAACAGAACTAGCAAGACTAGCAGGACTAACAAGACTAACAGGACTGGAAAGACTAGTAGGACTAGTAAGACTAATAATAGGACAAGAAATAAAAACATGAAAATAAAAGGGAAAATATAGTTGCATAGTTGTTCGCTAAATAATTTCATCATTTCCGTTAAAAGTTATTTATTTGCTTGGCTTGTTTTTTGCTTGTCATATTTAAATTAACTATAAACTAATTAGTTAGACTAATTTATAACAGTTGTACATGGCAATTCAACTGATAATTAACAATGTGATGAGTGTGTGTGTGATAAAATCATCGATGATAATAATGTGATTAATTGATGATTAAAATAATTAGTTAGTGATCAAAATTTATTTAATTTTCTCTCATTAATCATTCATTCTTTCTCATTTTTTTTGTTTCTCTTCCAACTGAAACTGTATAAATCGAAGATTTGAAATCAATTAAATATACGTTTATTTTTGAATTAGAAATTTATTATCCCATTACTACTGTATTAATTAAAGAATTGTATTAATTAAAAATTTATTATCCCATTACTGTGTTAATTAAAGAATTGAGAATCAAATTTAATATTTGAATATAATAATTGGAAAATGAAAAAGAATGAATAGGATAAGATTTTTGCATAAATTTATCAAGATATATCAATAAGATATCGATAAGCATTAGAAAATTTAAACTTAAAAATTTAAACAGAAAAAAATCGATAATAAAAATAAAATTGTTGAAATGACAAGAAGTAATGATCGATGAAAAAAAGAGTTGAAATGTTGAAAATTTTTCGAAAAATCATAATTATAAAAATAAATAGAAATGAAGAAAGGCTTTTCAATTTTAGAGAAAATAATTCGTTAAAATGATAACAATAAGTTAATTATTGATAATCTAATATGAATACAATGATAATGATTATAATGAAGTAGCAATTTGATATCACAAAGCTAAATTAATCATTTACGAAAAATTTTATTATCACTCAAATAAGATCGTAAGAAATGTTGAACGGAATTTATGTATGTATAATTAAGAAATTTGCTATTTGTAATTAGCAAAACAATAAAGATAATTATATATATTAATGCTTTCTTTTATCATTTCATCGCTATCAATTTCATTTCCATAATTTTTACTTATTCAAAATAACATATGCTAATGTAATTTGCAGAAAAAAATTGAAAGAAGAAAATAAACGTAAATTTAAATTTATATTTTCGAACTGAAAAAATTAATTATAAAAATTAAATCTTTTTTTTTTATTCCATTCCAAATATACTATATAATATATATTAATTATATATGAATATATAATTAATATAATTTTTCACAAGAAAAAAAATTAATAATTTAAATTAATATATGGAAAATCAATGAATGAATGATAAATATCGTGATAAGAGTGATATGATAAAAGAAAAGATATAGAAAAAAGGAATTTTTTTCCGATATAAAAATTAAATTTAAATAAATTTGATTAAAATAATTTTACTGTAAGTGAAATTTTAGTGAGAAATATCTGTCACCAACGAAATACAATTTAATATAAGAGTTATTTATTGACAAATGACGGAAAAATGAAATGAAAGCTAATGAGAATGATTCGATTCGTTTAGCTTTTTTCATTCCTTCACCCTTCTCTCTATCAGCTAACTTAACTACATCATCATCATCATCATCATCATCATCCTTCTCACTAGGAAAATTGAGTAGTGCATTCTTATACATTTTGTTCACAATCAATGATTCTTAGCTTTTCAATGCTCATTTTTAAGAACCACACACAAACACACACACACACACACACACAGACACACACACACCTACATAACTCATACATACATATATCTAAGCTAATATAACAAACATATCATCTTGACATGATTGGATGAGCCAGAGAAGATTGTAAGAATGAAAGTGTTTCTTTTTAGAGAAAATTTTCGAACTAAACTTTTTAGAGGAAATTTACGAACTTTAGAAAGAGAAAGGGAAGTAAATGATGATATGCTTGTTTACATTACAATGATTATTTATGAGTGGATTTGTATGCCATTTTTTTTTTCAAGTGTAGTTTTAGTAATAATATCGAACATTTCCAATGATCGATATTACTCTTGCACTAAGAAGTGATCATGAATGTATATTATAAAACATGTAAACAAATAGTTATATGAGAGGAAAGAAAATGATTAGCAATTTTTGAGAAAAAATGTTTAGTTTCAGAAGTTAAAGAAAAAGAAAGAAAATTGAGAACATTAAGAGTGTCTGGAAATTTCAGTATAGTTAGTAAAATAGCTTAAAGTTAACTACAGGGAGGAAATTTTCATGTCCTGCATTGTTGAGACGTTTACTTTAATTTGCTTACTAGTTAAGCTTTCGACGATTTGGTATAAGAAAAGAAAAGGGAAATATTATGAAAAACCCTAAGAACTCTTTTTGGTTTTATTAGCATTACATTTCTCAGATTATGCCAATATCATCAGCATTGCTACTCATTTGACATGACAGATCTTTCCAGGGTTTTTTGCTGATTTTCATTAATTTCTTGTTTACGTTTATTTTTGCAAGATAATATAGCAGGAACAATTTCAATTATCATTAACAATTGATCAAATTTGGGAGCTTGCAATTTTTTCTCTTCTTTTTAGGAATAATTCCAAATGGTTTCAATCGTTGCTTTATATTGTCAGCTGGCAACTGTGGCTTTTTGCGAATTGAACTAATTTTAAAATTCATTTCATGTATTCCACTTTCCAACAGCGTACCTAAAAAGCAGACATCCAGAATGAATTCAGTTGCTAAAGTATGATTTAGGCTACTAATGACTTTCGAATCGATTGATCTTTTAAGAATGTATGATACAAGCAAGCATACCAGGTTCTTGTTTAATAGTAACACCATCATCATTCGTGAGAACTACAGTACCATCTATTAAATCAAGTTTCTCATTCACTTGCACAATTCCTTTCACCAAATTTGCTGAAATTTCTAATACTATAGGAAAAAAATCGAAAAAATCAATTTTACACGAAAAAGGTAAGGAAAAGCTTAATTAATGACTGCGTATTGTCTTTTAACCAATCTGGAGGACTGGATAGAGATCGAACAAAGAAATATTAGATTGAGTTGAACTTCCCTAACAGTGATATTTTCTTTTCTAAAATTAGATAGAGCCTTTTTCCACCTACACGAAGCTAAATAACTCTGAAACGAAATGAAAAATCTCTCTGTACTCGACTAATAATCGTACTGAGTTTATTGCTAGAAATACCTTCACTAAATACAGAAGGTTAAAAAACCTTCTGAAGGTATAAGGTATCAATTTTACTAAAGAAAACTAACTGGCTTTAAGTGTCATAGCATCCTTCTGAGTTCTGATACCACTAGTTGGGATAAAAACGTGGGGTAAAGAAAGACGATGAAAATGACAGTCCAATGGTACTGCATCGGCTCGAGATGGAATCAGAACTCTTATTCGACTTTTCGCTTTGTGAGGAAATTTAATCGATGACAAATCACTTAATGGAATCTGCAATTAAAATTACTCTAACTTTATTAAAACTGTGAAATCTATACAATGACTTTTTATATACCACGGTGATTGAACATAAGTATAGATTTTCTGAAAGAAGCCTAAAATATCAAACAGCAATTTATCTCATCCAATACAAACGTCGGTACCCTATTGGTTGGAGAAGTTAACATCAACAGGAATTAACAAGAGTCAAAAAATTCATCCATGTAAGAACGATTAACGGCTATTCCATCAATAAATTTAATCTTTGCAAAAAAATATGAAAAGGCAAACCCTTGTCGGCTTTCTAATTAGCCAAACATCATACTCATCGTTGTTTGTATCGCATAAACTAGTTGAAGTAACAACATCCGAACTTGTCACTGTACCATTCGAATCCGCCTCACCGAGAACTGAATCACCATCAGTTTTCTTTCTTTTTCCCATGTTTAAAACTGAGCATAAAAAGGAGAAAAAATCAGGATTTGCGGTTGGCTAACGACGAAAAAATAAAACGGTCATCAAACTATCACAACCCATACAAAATATAAAACTGATTGTTGCTAATATAATGCCATCCAACAGTACTTAATTAAGACACTTATAAAGATACGAAGACCTTTCAAAACATTATTGTTCTGAAACACTATATCAGAACATTACATCATAGAAATATTTATTCTAATAACAGCGTCACGTAGATCATATCAATCACATTATATTCTGCTAATGAAATCGATATGATCCGAATAATGAATAAATTATGATCAGATAAGTAAAAGTTTTTTTACAAAGAACATATGATAAACAAAATAGATTGATTTGATTTGCTATAATAATGAGGCAGAAAATCATGTCAGATTTGAGAAATAAAACAAAAAATATATATATAAAATCAAGATTTGAGCAAAAAAGTGGCATAAGAAAACCGAGATAAAAAACCAGATGATGTAAATTAACAATTTTATAAACCAACTGTTATTCTTTGCATCGAGACAAGGAAACCAATAACACATCAATTATTTTCTTGTCTTGTGTTTTTTTTTAGAGATCGTTTCATCCGTAACTCCTTATTCCATGATATGAAAGGCTCCAGAGTAAATGAATTTTTTGTTGTTGTGAAGAATTCTTCCAAATCTTCAATAAAATGTCCGAGTTCAATTTTTCGAGGAAATATCACAAATATTTAGTGTAGCAATTTCGCAAATGTGAAATGACAACGACGAGATAAATTATTTGTTGCAAATCAGAGTCTATCAATAGTGCCGAACTACCGATGGCACCAGTGCTGTCATTTAATATTTAGTATGGTTTGAAAATTCTATTTTAAATATATTCCAAAACATCGTACCACATTGATATAAGCAAAAATTAAAAAAGCTAAGAGAACAGAATCAATGAAAGTCAAAACTAAGTGACGCATCAAATATAATTATACTTACCTATACCATACCTCTGTTCATAGTGAAAAGCTTGAACGATCATATCGAATTTATCCAAATGTTTGACAATTTTAGCTTCTTTAGTTTCACTACCTTCATATTCCTGCCACAAAGAATACCAATCTTCGCCAGTAGTTGATGGTACCATCTCAGTAATTTTCTTCATAGCCTATACATACATGATTAAATAATGGTCAGAATTGCAAATTAAGGAATGAGATGAAGATGGACCAGATATCATTTTCATACTAGATCTCCCGCAGTATTATGTTAACCAGTAGACCATTGACCTGTCATCATCATCATCAAAGAAGAGATTACTTCTGCTTAACATCTATGATTTTAATTAACAACTGCCTGACATCTGTGATTTTAATTCAAGAAAACAAACTTCATCTTCCAATCGATGCTTTTCTGTAGCCGAAATACCGCAGTGTGGAGTAATATCACCTACAATAGCTTCACCGAGATCGTGCACCAATGTCATTCTGATACATTTAGCACGATCACAATCATCATCCAGTAGCATTGCAAGCACTGCCATACGATACATATGACAAGCTACTGTTTCCGGCTCCGGAATCTAAAAATCTAACGATAAAGTAGCTAAACACTGCTAAACAATTCATTCAATACGTCATATGTCATTGCGCATGACTCTATAAATATTAAAAGAAAAAGTGAAATTGCGCTAGAAATAGTGAAACTATGATTCTATAAATGCTAAAAGAAAGTGAAAGTGAAACGACGATACTCTTTTACCCAATAATTCCGTTCTCGAAATAATAGCTGTTTGTGGTTGCATTTGTTGAGTCAAAAACTCATCAGTGAAAATCAGAAAAAATTCAAACTTAACTAACATTAAATTTCATCCATCCAGTCCTTTTTAAATGCTTTAATTCATCCAATATCTTCAACAAACTGAAAATATCTCTCATTTCTGCCAATTGAGTTCCCATCGGATTGGTGAGTAATTTCAACCTTAAAAAGCAGAAAGTTTATATTCCATCCATAATTTATAAATATTTAGCGGTACTTTTACGATCCATCTTATATGATTGGATACCCAATCTCATGAAACCCAAACCAACACCTCCGCAATCTTTCATAATTATTGTGTTTATTAGATCACAATGATAGGAACCGCAATGACAATTCCTTGTTCAGTTGGACATTTCCGGTTTGATCTGTCGATTGTTCGTTCAGTTATATTTGAGGTCCTTAATTCTAATTTATGATAGGTTTTAAGTTACATTCCGATACACTAAATTTCTATTTGTATTTCAGGGTAGGGGAACAGATCGTTTCGGCGATGCATTTAGGATAATGGCAACACCAGCAAAGAAACATCGAAAAGTAATAAAAATAGCATTCGATAAAGGAGAGCATTGTTCAAAAGGTTTCGTCCATTTTCCATTTTTTTTCCTCATTCTTCATACTATTTGACGACTGCAACCGAATGTTTTAGATGATAATGAGGATAGAAGTGCGGGCTTGGAAGAATCATATTTATGGATGGAACATTTAAAAAATATCAAATTAATGAGAAGTAAATGGGATGCACCGGTAGATAGCATGGGTTGTCATATGCTTGCTGATGCACTCGCTGAACCGAAGGTATGATAATTGATGTTCTAGGAAATTCTCATGACACGCTATTTAGGTGCGTGATGCTAATTTCTTCGTTGAATCTTGTTGCATGATGGATGAGAAACGACCGCTTTGCGAGCTTTTTTGACGATTTTTTTTTACAAATTAGACATATGGCTTAATCAGACATCATTTTTGTGTATATATTTAAGAAGTCGTATTTTTAAAATAATTTTGGAAACCCGATAAGACGAAATTAAACTTCACTCAAGTCTCATTTTATTTTCTTTCAAATTTCCAGTAATTATCTTCGGTATAATATATTAATGGGGAGTCTGAATAACAATAATGCATAATTTTTGAAATATTTCATTTTCTCGTTTGATTTTAAGGTATTTCGTTTTCAAACTCTGTTGTCGTTGATGTTATCAAGTCAAACAAAGGATCACATAACTGCTGCTGCAATGCATGTAAGTCATAATTCACAATTTGTCTTCAAACTCATATAAATGAAAAGAGCATTATAGTGTTCGGATATATGTTATATGTGTATACATATGCACTAATGTATATTTTTCCTATAAGCTTTTATGCACACATGTCCAGAGATGTGTGAACGTTTGTTCATTGTTTAATGGTGATAGATTTTATAATATATTAGGCTAAGTTTAAATTAATCAGTTAAATGTAGGCCTTCTTACCAAATCAATGCTTGAATATTAATCATGCAAATAAGATCTATTTAAATGGAATGGACACAATCATTTGCACGTGATTGTTAATTTCCAGCGGTTACGAGAACATGGATGTACAGTTGATGATTTAATCGCAATTTCCACGGAAGAGCTTCAGCAGTTACTGATTCCAGTCGGTTTCTATAAGGTGAGATGATAAGCCAAGACATGACTGTAGAGAAGTAGAACAAAACGCCCACTTTTCTGACTAATTAAAAGGAAGGTTTGCATGGGTGGGAGCACTACACCCACTTTACTAGTAGCTCATACAGCTGCTTCTTCACTTGAATTTAGCAGATCTCTCCTAATAAAATAGTTATTTGTGGTGACTTACTGGGCTGAAAATTCTTGGTTTCTTTAATACTATGTCTGTTTTCTTTTTCTTTTTAGGTAAATTAATTAAAATTATTTCTTTATTTTAGAAAAAAGCTGTGTATATCAAGAAAGTAGCAGAAATTTTGAAAGAGCACTATGATAGCGATATACCGAATACGGTTAAAGGACTTTGCTCTCTTCCGGGTGTTGGCGAAAAGATGGCTTATCTTGCGATGTGTAACGCTTGGGACCAGATGGAAGGACTTGGTGTCGATACGCATGTACATCGTATCAGCAACAGACTTGGATGGGTGCCTTTTTGCTTAATCAATTATAGGTCAATGGAAAGAAAATGTACTGTTGCGATGTCGCCACGATATTGTTCCACTTATGAAGTTAATGAAAGTCATCCTTGGAAAGTTTGATTATAGATGATGGTAAAGATAGATTTTTGCAGATTAAAACTTCAAATCCAAAAGAATCTCGGATAGCTCTAGAATCTTTAGTTCCACGTGAACAATGGCAAGAACTAAATAAATTACTAGTCGGTTTTGGGCAGCAAACATGTTTACCTGTTTTACCGCGATGTTCGGAATGCTTAAATAAGAATATATGTGCAGCTGTAGGAGTGAAGAAGAAACGCTGATATTTCAAATTTGAATCTTCAGTGCAACAAAGTCCACCATACTTTATTATTTGATCTCTCCATTGTTTCGTTATTTTGCATTCCGGTTTTTTCTTTTTCGAGGGGAAAATATTTTTCAGTAATTCGAATAACTTCCAAATAGCTATTCCTATTTTTTGGTCTTGTTTATTTCTTTTTTATTCATGTAAAGATGTATAATTTGTAATTTTCATATGTTCATTTCAAATATTTATGACCTTTTGGATACTCTCACAGTACAAAGTACTGTATTATCCACCTACTGTGTTATAAGTATTATGTTTTAACGTGATTATAGCATACTTGACTCATTCAGTTTAAATATTTTTCTACGATTAAACTTCAGGCTAAAATCTATCCAAGCCACGAAAAATTTCCACAAAACAAAGTAGTTACCACAGAACGTGTTTATTCAGTTAGAGAAGTGTGAACGAAGAAAGCGCAAAAGACGGACAAAAAAGATAGACTTTCTCTTACCTTCCAGACATAAATTTCAAGATATATTATCATTCTTTTGCTGTGAATTGTCATAATAATCATCCAAACTCTCCGTATTCATTAAATTATTGAAGTTCAACTCGCCATACAAAAGTGACTTCTGAGGTTATGCAAACCGGTAACTTACTACTTTACAAAATTAAACAATATAGTAAATAGCAATGAAACAATACTAAGCTACTATCAAAAAGGCAACAGTATGCACAGGAATAACAATAAAACCCGTAACTAAGTACAAAAATTATTAAGCATCATATGATTAACTTTGAACAATATGTTGTTTACGATTTCATTTTCCACCGAGTTTACACTACCGAATGGGGTACTTTGTCACACTATCAGATCCTGAGGATCATGTAATAAGATGAAATCGAATGAAATGCAAAATATTATAGTTTCAAATTAAATTCAGGTGACTCGAAAATAGTGCTCATTCTGGATACTGTGAATTGTTTGCCATGATTACGAAGTAATTTGAATAAACCAGTACCAATTGTAATTGGAGTACCAAGAATGATGCATTCGCTTACACCGCATATCTTATCCTCTTGTGAGAAAAATGCAGCTTCGAAAAGATGATCGGCTGTTTTTTCGAATGACGCTAACAGCAACACCGACTCTTTCATTTTCACCAAGCCATTCCGCGTTATACCAAGTACCTCACCCCTAAATTAGATTTTTGAGCAACTTCTAAATCCCTCGAAATGCATAGATTTCCAATAAAAAAGACTTGTTTTTTATACAGACAATCAGTTATAAAATAAAAAAATTAAAAAGCTATTCCTATTAAATAATTTTTCAGTTTTCTTTCTCTATTATCTGGAAGACGTTTGGGATTACTGAGATTTTGCAAATGAGCAAGTTCAGAGGACAAAACAGACGAAAATTGGTGTATAGCACTGCTTTCTTTCAATACAGACGAAAAAACGCAAATATAATATACTGATTAATAGTTCTGTAAACCATCGAGTTTCAACGAAAAACCGAGAAAACCTGTAAGTCATTAAATCTGCAAGTAACATCACATGTCGCTGGTCCAAGCCAATTCCATGTGAAGCCATTGTAGATAATATTTCTGATATGATCGATGAACGTGCTGCTTCAATGCCAAGCACCTAAAATAAAAATCCATGTAAGTTTCTTTAAGAAGCTTCCTTCAATGAATATCTAGAATATCGGTATTTCCTGATCACTCAAATAATGTATGGTTAGATATCAATGATTGTAATACATCAGCGACAGTAAGTGCATTATTGAAATATGTCCGACGGCCCTCGACGCCAACTGTTGCCATAACTTCACGATAATCTATTCCTTCCACCAGTAATTTATAAGAATCCCCCTTCCTTTCATCTGCATGAATCACACAGCGTACAATGCCCGGAAGACCTGTAAATTATTTCCATATAATTGATTATTTCTATATAGAATAAAAACAAACTATTAATAGCCTAATAGCTGAATTACGGTTGGCAAGTTTTTTTTCAAAAAACCATTATATGTTCAAGTGCACTGAGTAATAATCAACATAGAACCTATGAACATTGTTAACGTTAACTACACAGTTGAATACTTATACTTGGATTGGACGGAAATTTAATTTCATGATACTAAATCGAGGCAAAGTGTGTGCATACCTTTTACAACAATATTTCCAATATTATACTTTAGGTATTGAATAGCCATCATTTTGGAACATTTAGCCAATTCTGGTGGCCGAATTGTCATAATTGTTTTACCCAAAATTTTAATCTGGAAATCAATTTTTAGAACAGCAAAGTTCCCATAAAGTATTTAAAAAGCAGATAAGGAATTGCTTCATGATGAAAATCATCATGGACAAAATCTTCTAGCAAATGAAGATTTATATCAGTGATGAAAGAGTCATCCTCAGGAAGCTGACAAAGCAAGATGTTCAGATAATCAAGCAAGTTCGTGGCAAAATCCAAACATCAGAAAAAGTGAGTTAGCAATTTCAAATTTTTTTTCTTTATAACAAAACTAATTAAGAATTTGATAAGATCTGCAACAGAACTGAGACGCGGTCCACCAAGATGAAATTGTTAATGCACTTGGCACTTCCTTTTTTTGGAAAACAAAGATTCCTTGGTAATAAAAGATTATCCCGATTATGAACCTGTGATATTTTCACTGGAACAGGTAGCTTTGAAGTGCAAATAGACTGCGCAATTGACGACATCGTGATTTCAAGCTGAAGAAGTCGGACACGTTTTGCATTGATTTTTAACAGAATAAAGCAATCATCAGGCAAATAAACTTCTTCGATGTAATCACAGATTTCACCTGCAAGCAGAAAATCAATAAGGACACAGTGTTGAGAGTCTTTAATTTGGTTTCTAATTCAATTTTCACTTTTCTAATTTCAATTCGATTTTTGGATGCACTGAAATGACTGAAAACCTAAATTTTCAACAGGAAAATCAACCCTTTCACTAAAAGCAAAAAACAAAAGACAAACCAAGTGTTGTTTTCTCAATCCTTGCTTTCACTCGTCGCGCTAACTTTTCATCCTTTTCATTCACTAATGCAGCTGTGATTAATGGCGTTGAAATCAACTTTACACCATTAATGATTTCTTTAATTCGTGGTACACCCTGAAAAATGGTTTATCTTACGCTCAAAGTAAAAAGAAGTGCCAAGAAATATCAGCTTGGCATTTTAGATGAATGACTTTAGTAGTATCGTGAGTTTTTTTGAGAAGTTGGGACATGATCAAATACGATACATAGCTGAGCAATCCTCTCTATGGAACTTTAAAGCTTTAAACATGAAGAAGTGTTCTAACAGAGATATCTAATCTTTTTTAATTTAAAAGAAAAGCAGCTCAAAACACTGGAAATTTTTTCATTACTTCAACTCCGTAGAAATTTACCTGAGTGATATTCATGGAAGCAACACCAGCAAAGTGAAATGTTTTTAGTGTCATTTGAGTAGATGGTTCACCTGGAAATGAATATTTTTTATGCGCCAATAAAATAAAGAAAATGCAAAATTTTTATGTAATTTAATGCGGCTTAACAAGCATATAAAAATAGTGCAAAACAAATTACAATCATTTCTCGAAATAACTGAATAACCTACCAATACTAGTAGCAGCAATAGCGCCAACTGCTGTACCCGGTTCACAAATGGCACGCCTAAATTTCCTCGAACAAAGCCCAATGAAAGCGATTACTTGTGCATGTGATAAACAGCGTGACTTAATTTCGGTCTGTCGGAAGAAATTTTGATTCTTACAATCATTACAATGTGTTATTGATGGCACTAACCTGCTGGAATATCAAAACGAAATAATAAAACATTTTTCACATTTGTAAATGCTTGCAAATGTTTAAAAGTTATTGTAACATAATTAAAGCTTAAAAGCTAAACATATTTGAATACAAAAAAAAGCTTAAAAGCTAAATGTATTTGAATTATAAAATCACTCGACCGGTATTGAAAAATGCACACGCGCTAGGCTACTACCAACGCGTGCCAACTAGAAGGGTAAACTACGCTAATTCAGCTTCTAAGCGTCCGCATTTTCTATTAATGACCCGTTCCATTACCACTTTATAAATTCCATTACCACTTTATAAACAAAAAAGGATCTCCCAAAGAAACCTCCCAAGGATAACCGCGCATAAAGTAGCTGAGTAACTTCGAATTTCCTCGAGATATACGGTCGTTAGGGCTTTTACTCTCTATATTTTTAGAAAACTTCAAAATCTTGTATTAAATAATTCGTTTTGAGTTTAATTGTATTATCCAGATTACAAATACCTTTATATACGCTAAATATGATAGAAAAAATAAACTGTTACTGACTCGATATGTTTGGTGCAATTTTTTGGAAGTTCATAGTATTTTTTCGTTTTTTTCAGATATTCATTGATAAAAGACTCAAGCTGTTCTCGAAACATAGCATGTTCATTTCCGATCTTTTCATTGATTGCATCTATGGCAACTTTTTCCATTTCATAGTTGATGACATCCCCATCTTCTGTCGAATACCTATGTTTGTGATTAACTGTGATTAACATATCATTTTCCTTTTAAATTTACATCTCGAAATTGTAGTCCTAGCATCACTTATTTGGAATCTCATGCTGGAATATGAATTTGGTACGAAAACTTCATGTCATTACACACTTCACTATATGATCGAACACTTTTAATTAAGCGATGTTGGAAAACGTCTTCAACAATTAAATTCTGCCATGCAGAGAAATGAATCCATGGAAATGAATGAGAAACTTCATGTCACTACACACTTCACTGTATGATCGAGCACTTTTTCCCATAGTAAAAAAGCAAACGTACGGTACTGTATTCCGAATATGTTCTAGTATATGTTTGAAATCTACGACCCCGCCATCCTTTGATTCCATTAACGCAGGATCCAAGCCATCTTCGCCGAATGTAAATTCAATTACATCGCCTACAGATGAACGTACTGTACCATCGTAATTTACACAGAGGTCCTAAACAGAGAAACAATTCAACAGTTCTCGAAAATTACAAGAAAAAATATGGTAATTTTTATATGACTTATGAATTAAAATTTTTGAACAAAGTATATATGAACTGTGCAACCACTATTCAACTTTTATCAATAATATGAACCTACTTCTAGACATTTGACCAATCGCCGTTGCATATAACCAGTTTCGGCAGTTTTTACTGCAGTATCGACAAGACCTTCGCGACCACCCATAGTGTGAAAGAAAAATTCGGTTGGTGTTAAACCAGAATAAAAACTATTTTCTACAAAACCTTTCGCAGCTGGTGTTTTTTGACGTCTTTCAAAATGTGGCAAAGAACGATCCTGCAAGATATGAAGTACAATTTTATAACAACATATCGAACTTATAACTGATATAAAAATTTGAGAAAATATTAACACATTAAAAGAGAACCTACAGTGCAGAAAAGGCTTTCCTTACTATTAAAAAAATAAAATACGTAACAAATGATAAAATATGAATCCACGAAAACTTTCGAAGTGTAACACTTCTTGAATTCTACAGTAAAAAGGCTCAACTAACAAGATTTCGTTTCGTTTTTTCGTTTTCTTTGTATTTTTCAATTTCAAGTTGATGACAGTACAATCAAAAAATTCGTGCAAATGAAGCATTTATTTTATAAATTAAAATAAACTATTTGCAACAAACACTTAATGGTCACTGTAATAATGTGATAAATACTAACAGCAAAATATAATGTACCTGATGTAGATTTCTGATATTCTACATTTTCTGCGCAGATTTTGCTACTAAAAAAATAAATAATGCTGTACCTCAAAACCATCTGGTGGTCTGTGTCCAGAAACAGCTTGCTGACCCACGCATGCAATCATCTGCGAAATATTAATAAATGAACCCTTTGAGCCACAGACGGCCATAATTAATGGAGCATTGTGTCTGAAAATTAGGATATGATAAAAGTCACTCAAAAGGGCAAAATGGGAGAAACTAATGCACATTATTAGTGCAACGCCGTCATTTTTACATCTTTTAAAAAAACACTTCTTTTAAAAAGCGCACATACTGTTTTTCCAATCCAAAAAGCTAAAATGAATAAAAATAACCTCGATAAATTACGTAGACATGCTTGACCCGCATGATCACGAATGGCAGAAAGTTCTTTCAAAATTAACGCTTCCAGTGTTTCATATTCTGTGCAACCTGGCTGCGCTTTTAAGCGCCCTTCTTTTAAGCTTTTAATATAATCATCACAAACTTCATAACCATTCCTCAGTAAATCACTTTTTTCTCTCAATAGCGCATTACTTGGTCTTACGTCACCTATTCCTGGAAAGGTATCAGTTTCGCATGATATTAATTAATATATGGAATGCTTTCTGCGTGCATTTACAGACCAAAAAATATTACTTACTAAAGCGATGTAAACCACCTTATGCAAACGCCGTTTTAATCTCAATAATGATAAATCTACAAAATTCGAAACAGTCAACATTACCAATAGAGAAACCGTGATTGCTGAGAAACACAGGAGCCATTCTGCCTAGTCGCCACATCGCATCAACCGCCGCATCTTCACCAAAATCACGCAAAAGTATATAAAATATATTTGTTTTGCTGCCTGATCCCAATAATGCCTTATCCAATACTCCACATATCAAGACACTATTCCGGATTATTACGTAAGAATCCTGAATATTTGCGCTAACTTATCTTTATCTTTATGAATGACAGTAATGAAACAGTTCTAATTAAAAACAGAACTGAACGGAAGTAATTTGAATAAAATTCATATGATAATCTACATTTCACAAACCTTTACACAAAATTCTTCATTGCCAGTATAACTTTTATTCTTTGTAGTTAAATTCAAATTGATCTTCGAGTCTACATCTGGTCTTATAATTAATTCTATTAACTGCAAAATCAATAATAAGTGTTTGGTTGCATGGAACTTGAAACAGATGGCTCCTCAATACAGCAAAATAGTTAGAAATCCAATTTACACTACATACATCTATTTTAGACTTATGGAGTTACTTTTTATCAACTCATCACAAGAAAGGTCAACGAAATGACAAAATCAGGTTTGTTCACTCTATTGCGTAACGATTAAGTATCCTAGTGGTCATCCAATCCAGAAAAAATTGCCTGACTTGTTTTCCGGTCCAAAGTTCCGCTGGTTTTAGAATAGCCGGAGGTGGTATTCGAATTCTTTGCTGCTTTTTCGAACTGCAGTCTATGATTGAGGCCGCAAAACGATACATCTCCGAGCGAGGGAAAAAACTATCTTTGTGTGTTAGGAGATAGGTACCAGTGATGAAATCCTACAAACTGCAATTAGCTTTGAAAACATTTGCACTGAATAATACTTTATTTCAAAGAACAGGTAAGGTTAATGATGCTTTTTGACTAAACCAAATTCATTCACTGATTACCTTACGGCTAATTCAGATGAAGTGATCTTAAACAACTACAATTCTATAATCTCGGGCTTCCAGAATAATATGTAGCCCACTGTAACTTTAACACTTGATTGATGCGTTTCACTATTAAAACCCTAATATTTTTGGGGGTTGCGTAAATTCAAGAAACGTTTTAACTTCAAAAAGCACTCTATCTTAAAAGTGTTTTTTAGTGGAAAATTAAGAAGTATAAAACAAACATACCTGTATCGCAGCAATGAGCGGCTCACCTGATCTCGGCGTGATTAGATTACTTTTGACGCCCATTAGCAGAGATGCTTCCGCACGTGCTTCATATGTTTGAGGAACATGTAAATTCATCTCGTCACCATCAAAGTCGGCATTGTACGGTGTACATGCACACTCATTAAACCTAAATCAACTGAATTCTAACATTTTTAGACGAATTACTGAAACTAATTAAAGCCAAAGAAGTAAGGAATACTTTGACAAATATTTTAGCAGAAACAACATTAGATTATCTCCTTGTACCATAAGAATGTTAATAGTTGTGCGATGTCAACGAAAAATTAGATAAAAAGATTATCGCGCGTTAATTGAATGAGACTGAAAAGTATGAATCCACCAATAATTTAACTGAAGCATACATCAAAGCAAATAATTGAATGAATAGTGTCATAAGACTTCGAAAAGAGACTGATATTCTTCATAAAACCAATGTGGAATAGTTTCTGAGATACTACGGACGTGGATAAAAAATTAGAGCTTAATAATGGATATATTCCTGGATGACATTAATAATTGAAGAACACTGATTCTACGACTCTTTCAATTTGGATGACTGAAATAAGCTAAACAAGTTTAAAAAATTTGGGAAGCAACGCTACGTTAAAGCAAAATAAACTGTGCTATACCTGAAGGTTCTTCCAGGAATGATTTTTGCTCTATGAGACATAATTGAGATTTTATGAAGCGAAGGTTGTCTATTGAAAAGCACAATATCATTGTCGTCCAGATGCCGTTCAATTATATCACCAACTTTTAACTGTGCAGCCGTGATTTCGCGATTGCCGTACCTGCAGTTGAACAGTAAGCTTTATGCTGCAAGTCTATTAAGAACAATCATTAGGTCTTGATGTAATTTACAAACAAATTTTGCTAGCGTAAAATTAGCATGATTAGTTCATAATAAATAAAAATAAATATATATTTACCTAACAAAAAAATCATAAGTGGAAGTGTTATTTAAATTTATGACAAAGCTGGGTGTGAAGTAGATTTTCTCGAGTTAATGTAGTTTTGACACACATACCTGAGGAAACGTTTGTTGCCTGTTGCTCTTTCTACAATATGGTTTGCTCCTGGATGTATATTATCACCATTTAAAACCAGTTTACGCATTCGCTCAATATTTGCCTTATTTACAATTTCCGGAAAAGTGAGGATCTTCGCTATATGAACAGGAACACCAACTTCATCAATCCTAAGATTTGGATCAGGTGATATAACCTGAAAACAATCCTATCTAAATTAATTGATTATTGAACAGAAAAAACTAATGCATCTCTGCCTGAAAAAATTCCGCTATGAGCGATATTAGAAATGTATGTCATCGAGGTGATGTGACGATTTTTTTCTCTGCCATATAAACATCAAACTAATAATATCAGCTTCATAAGTAAAGAATCTTAAACTAAAATTTGTAATTACCGTTCTTCCAGAAAAGTCAACACGTTTTCCGGAGAGATTTCCCCTGAACCTGCCTTGTTTTCCTTTCAGCCGTTGTGTAAAGCCACGTGTTGCTCTTTTAGGTTGCATGTCAAGTGGTAATCCACTCAGTTCACTGTTTATGTACAGAGCACATTGAACCTAAGATGAAAAAACCAATAGCAACTTATCTCTAACATACTATATCATATCCACATAATTTTAAAAGAACATAGAATTACAAATGTCTTGAAATGAAACCAGTAATGGAGAAGTTTATTCAAAGATATTATTAGAAAACAATCTTATTTGCTTCTTAAACTTTATAATTACTTGCAAATGGTCCCATGTTTCCGAAATGGTTTTAGTCGGCGAACCTTCCTTTTTGTGTTTTTCGATAACATCATTTATCAATATAATTTCAGATAGTTTCATCGTAATATCATCTTCGGTTGTTCCCGATTTCACCTATAATTCAGAAGTACTAAAATCCCTAGAAGTAGAACAAGTAGAAATCGAACATTATTTGCAAATGGATCGGCTGCCTATTAGCAAATGAGAAGTGCTAACAGCTTAGGATCTTTAGAGCATTTCAATTTCATTCGCTTCAATTAATGCAGTACCTCAGACACGACAGAAGGTCGAATACAGCATGGAGGAACAGGTATTCTAGTCAAAATGACATCAGATGGATGTTTGGGCGTATCCGCTGAGTGCACCATCAACAACGGTATATCCTGAAAAGTGGTTCCCGAAGAGCTTTGCGAAAAAATTTAGCAGCCGATATCACAGTCTTTCTTCCAAAAAAGAGTGCCCACAAATTGCATTAATTATATGGAGCATGGCTCTGAAATTTGCGATTCAACATTGGCAGGTTATTTCATTCCATAAAGAAAATGAAATGTTACTGTTTACAAATCAGATAAAGCAAGTAAGAGAAAATCAATCAGTGACTTCTGTGAAACCTAGTTAATGGAGAAATCTCAATGTAATAATTACACACACCTTTTTGTCGATTTTATTAAATAAGACTTGCACTTGGAGTGGATCTAAGAGAGTGAATTTCGTTTTTGGTAATAAATTTTGTAATTCTTTATTTTCCTGGGCAGCATAAACGTATTCGGAATAATTATCAGCAGGAATTACTTCGGCATGTGCTATTTTCAATACTGCACCAACTGCTTTCTTTACAATACCTACAACATTAAAAATAAAAAGATCCTCTCATATTATTTTCAAATAAACTTTTTGCTTCCTAACCCAATCATTATAAAAATCGACTACTTTATCTAATGTAATGCGTTTTTGACAGTAGTGTAATCAAATAATGCTCGGTATTAAACAAAAAAAAGCCGTTAAACAAAAATCAATTTTGAGAAAAGTGAAGTCTTTTAAACCTCTATAACCCTTTTTATCCGAATTTCATCCAAACTTTAAACTCTTTTATTTGAATTTCTATAAATCATCATTGAAATACTAACCATTTCTATGCCCACATTTACCACAAACAGTAATTTTTTTGCTGGCGGCAACGATACGCTTATGAAGCGCTTTCCGTCGTAAATAATCCAAATTTGGATTATTAACCTGATGCAAAAACATCTTCTTCTGCTCACCAGTAATCAACATCGCAGAACAAAACTGCAATTATTCAAATTAACAAATTTTACATTTAATACATTACATCTCACTGTCAATGACTCCATAATACTACTGGAAGCAATGCGACAGTGCAGGAAGTTGCGATTATTTAATTGTTATGGCAAAGTCCTAACATTTCAACAATTATCGAGAAAGTAAACGCGAAACTTGAAAAAAAGAACTGTACTTTACAAATGCATTGCAACATCTGTATTGTCAAGCGAAAGAAGCCAACATGAAAAACGGGTATAGCGAGATCAATATAACCAAAATGACCAACACAATCAACCAAGTTTTGTTTACAAGTTTGACAGTCAGTATGCTTTTGACATGTTCCCTGAAAACAAACAGTTAATTTTAGAACTAAACAACTCGGGTATCTAATATCTACGGCAAATAAAACAAAATTTCGAATAAATTTTAATTGGACAAAGTTCGAAATAAGAGAATAACAGAATGATAGTGTTAATGCTATATAACAGGAATGAGCGGAGTGTATTGTCTGATAAATGAAAATTGGAATGCTTCATGTGGCAAACTATGTATATCTATTACTAATAGAAGTTACATAAAAATACTACTGTATCAAACTGCAATGTTAAACCTTAAGCTAAATGTTTGCTTCCATTTTTTTGATAATAATAATTTACGTACAAACAAAATTTCGTTTGATTGATTTTAGTAAAACGCTGCACTATGTCCAAAACCAATAAAACTGAACTTTGACCAATTGCATTCATGTTTTCTCACTACTGCATATTCTATTCTAAATAAGTCATCATTTTTATTAGAGGAAATGTGGTATACATACTAAGCGCGGATCGAGTGGTCCATGAGTAACCGGAACCCATCGGCCGGGACTTTCATCATACAATTTGCTATTGAAGATCGGTATATGTGCTATTTGCCTCATTGATTCAGCATTACCAGCCGTAAATTGCACACTGCTTCTAAAAAAGCAAAAAGTAAAAGGAAAAGAAAATTGAACTGAATAAGGAATTAAAATGAAAGAGAAAACAAAAATTAAAATGAATAAGTAAAAAATGGAACCAACACTTTGCGTGCCAAATCTGATTCACGGTATTGCTCTTTACCCATATTGATCAGGACGCCAGATGAATTCGTCGACTAATTGTTCAAGGAAAATCCGGAGAACTGAAATCTGAAAAAATTTAAGTAATACTGCGGTTGTAAAATTAGGAGCTACAGAAATGAATTAAAAGATCAACCTAATCAATATCTCATTTCAATGTGGCAATAGATATAGTTTAGGAGGTCGGGTATATTTCTGAAAATTTCGAATAGACGACAAAGCAATTAAAACTAGACAGTATGAATTATTAGATAACACGCCAATTATTGATTAAATTCAAACTGCTTGATAGTTGACATTGCAAGCTTTTTTGCAGGAAGTCTATGCGAGATCGGACATAATGATAATGTACATCGTTACTGTTTCCACCAGATATTTGTCTCATAGAAAATACTGCTATTTATACGTTTACCTGACAGGTAATCTATCAGTTACATGGTACATGGCTTCTATTTACATAATTTCTTGCCAAAACAATAAATAATCATGTAATTTTTTAATACAAATATGAAAATTCTACTGATGTAGTTATTGCATATTCCATACGTTTACAACGTACAAAAAGAATCTTGCCATAAATAATGGACAAATTTCGGCAAATCACATTGAACGTATTTTCGATTTTATACTAATAATCCCAAAATTGGCATCTTTCAGAAGGAGAGAGAGAGAGAGAAAGGGAGAGATGGAGAAAAAGGGAGGTAGAGATAAGAATAGTAGAGAAAAAGGGAGAAAATTTGATGAAAAAAGAACTGTCAACGGCAAATCGAGTTACTGTATACCGGTTTCGCTTCATTTTGGTTTTTCATTTTGATATTTAAAATGAGGAGGAAAAAAAACAAGAGTAATCCTACCCAATTTCTCCTTGACCTGAAGATAAAAATTGATATCTGCCACTCTTGGATATTTCAGGATGTACGAACCATGAATTACTTATCGGTAGATATGTTTGGTTAATGGTTGTTAAGGTACCTACCAGAAGTAGACTTTAAATTTGTGATCAAGATGAAGTTTTTAGCCATAGGAAAGGATATAGAGCTAACTAGACAGAAGGCTAATGAACAAAATAAATGAATATGTACGCACATGTGCTGTCCTTCACATTAACTGATTGTATATGTTTGAAAAAATGCATGTTACATATCTGTTCACTTATATGTACTTTAAATTCTGCTATATTTAAGTATTCAAATCATTCGATTCATAATGCTGATTGCAGGATTGATACAAGGAAGCTATTAAAAGCGTAAGTGGGTGTAGTTGTTGTAATAAATATATGAGCAACTCAATCAACGGTATTGTTGGTAATTTGGGCAGTAGTGGTGATGGAAATTTGACCATTCAAATGCCGGGAAGTAGTGGACAACAACAACAGTCTGTGAGAGACTTTTTTTTTTGAGTCTGTTGGGTTAGCTGAATATGTTCACATATATCGCATTCTTTCCCTTAATTAAAAATTTAAATAAAATGATCTTGTTAGCACTTTACATATTTCTTTTACAAAACTGGAATCATGTAAGGATGTCTTTTTAAATGATGTTTTATGAAGAACAATAAGGTGTCCGAAATGATGCCTTACACTGCTTCTAAGAAACTTGCTTACGTCGTGTATAAAGTGAAATACCACTTAGGAAATGGTCTTTCTTGCAATTTAACAAATGCAGTAATCAATGTTCCATTGATATGTAATGATACTTGATTTGATTTTTTGCCTTTATTGTTCGTGTTTTTGTGTGTTGCATAATTGCTGAATGCTGCAAATGGTTGGAAATTATTGCAGAAGATGGAAAGTGGTCAAGGGGACGGTAACACTCGAACAGCCTACGATAATCAAAAAACAAATACACCGAATGGTAGTAACCCGACGAATGTACCATCTGCAGCGGTAATTTTTTCATCCAACCGATAAGTGAGAGTACAAACTAGCAGTTTCATAGTTTTTCTTCCCATATTTTTTTCTTCATGCGTAATATGTTTTATGCTGCTTTATAGGTCCCAAATTATGACATTAAATATATATTATCTGGTCACACAAAGGCTGTGTCGTCTGTCAAATTCAGTGCTGATGGTTCATTGTTAGCTAGCTCTAGTGCTGATAAGACAATTAAAGTGTGGAATACTCAAGATGGTAAGATCGAAAAAACGATTACTGGACACAAACTTGGAATCTCGGATATTTGTTGGTCCTCAGATCACCGGTTGATAACTTCATGTTCGGATGATAAAACACTGAAGATATGGGATGTTATGAGTGTATGTTTCTCCTTATTCTTTTGTTAGAGGTTAGATATGACGGTCTATTCAAATCTTCAGTACTGCTAATAGAGAATTTACGTATTTTAAATACATTATATGTTTTTTTAAATTCATCAGTAATAAGATCCAAATAAGGATCTTGTAAACATCGCTACTAGTATAATTGTGATGGAATATTGCAGAGCAAATGTTTGAAGACATTGAAAGGTCACACTAATTATGTTTTCTGCTGCAATTTCAATCCTCAGTCGTCTTTAGTCGTGTCAGGTTCTTTTGATGAAAGTGTTCGAGTTTGGGATGTAAAGACAGGTTCATGCATTAAAACCCTTCCTGCACATTCCGATCCAGTTTCTGCAGTTTCCTTCAATAGGTAATTATTGTAGCTTGTTGTTTAGCATTAGATTAAAAGAGAAAGACACAGTACATTTATGTTGCATATTTTTGTTTTATGTTGTAAAAAATATTGACAAATCTGCATTGTGATCTTTCTATTTTAGGCTTTTTGGCTCTTTTGTGATAATAATATTGAGGCTGTGCCGGTATATGGAACTATCAGCAAATTGACATGATATTTTGAGCAAGTAATTTTTAGAGACCAGTAAGTAGTTGAAACTTCTGTTATTAGATGCTTTCAGAGATGGAACACTGATTTGTTCAAGTAGCTATGATGGGCTTGTTCGAATTTGGGATACTGCAAATGGGCAGTGCGTTAAAACTCTTGTTGGTAAGATGTGATATTGTAACTGTCTTAAGAGTAACGATTCTTTCACTATTCTAGAATATTTCATGATACAAAATTGATATCTAATTGTTAAAAAGAGGTTATCGAGATACGTAATGTGCAGTAAACTTAAACTTACTTTTGTCCATATCTTATTTTTTATTGTTGTCGCTTGTTTTTTGTTTTATATTTATTTGTATCACATGTTGCAGATGATGATAATCCTCCAGTTTCGTTTGTAAAATTTTCACCAAACGGCAAATATATATTAGCAGCTACCTTAGACAGGTTTGTCATTAATATTCAAATAATATCAGTGTTCACAAATAATGCGTTTTCAAAAATAGCTTCTAAATGATTGTGAATCTTGGTTCTATTTAATGTTGCGATGGGAGTTCATTTCGATTTTTGTTTCACACTCGGAAAGCTTGTATATAGTTGTAGAAATGCTGGCTAGTAGGATATTTGCCCGAAAAGCATGCGGACAGCACAACTATTCACTTAATGTGGGTTACATATTTCAGTCTTTTAATGCTAATCTAAGTAATTTATTTCGTACAGATATGATAGCAGTATATTGTTATTATCTTAAAAACTTTTTGTGTATGTGGAATGAATTGTTTTTATGTAATTCTTTAATTTTGTTCGCTATATGACTAAATATCGAGAGGAAATTTTTATTCAGTACACTGAAACTTTGGGATTTTAACAAAGGCAAGTGCTTGAAAACTTATACTGGACATAAGAATGAGAAGTACTGTATCTTTGCGAATTTTTCTGTCACTGGTGGCAAGGTAATTTTATTTTATCTTTTTGGGTTTGGTCTACAATTGTTTGATTTTTTGTGTTCAGAATAACATTTGAATTCGGCTATTAATATAAAAAGCTTAAGCATATGATGTCAGCTGTCTTTTTCCACTGAATAAAAATGGATTACTCGTACTGTGAAGAAATTTCAGTGGATAGTCAGTGGTTCGGAGGATAATCGTGTCTACATATGGAATTTGCAATCTAAAGAGATTGTGCAAACACTTGAGGGTCATGCAGGTATGCATTCGTTTTGCTAGATCTGATTTTCCAATTTTGTTATCCCCGATTAGCATTTCCATGTTTTAACAAAAAATTTGATCTACGTGACTTTATTTTTAACAAGTTTTATAATTTTTGTAGTCTTTATAAAGGAGGCAATTTTAATTAAGGCCTATATAAATAGTATTTGCTTTGAAATTTACAACTGTATTGAAGCATTTGTGGATGTTTAATGAAAATACTATTATTTATGTTTCTCGTACATGTAAATAAAAGTAAAATTTATTTTATGCAGATGTGGTACTGTGTACTGACTGTCACCCAACGCAAAATATTATTGCATCAGCAGCGCTTGAAAACGATCGTACGATTCGTTTGTGGAAATCCGATTTTTAGCTTCTTATATATATTATATGTATTTATATATCTCAGAGTATACGATACCGCTAGTTGACGATATTTAAATGTTTAAATATTGATTATTCTGGTGTTTCTGTCGTAATGAATCTTTTGAGGCCTTCGACAAGTCTTCGGAAGGTTGTTTGGATAAGTTTTATTGATTTTTAATTATGTTTATTTATGCCCACAGAGTATGTTGAATGTCATTATTGCAGGTGCCTACTTTCACTATATCTAGGCAATGAAAACATAAATATCTCAGGTAGGTTTTGGCGCTTTTTAGAAGTAAAGATTGATCGTGTTCTGGAATCATAATTTCATAATGAGTTTGAACTGGTTCATGTTGACAAATTAATACCAATATTTTGTTAAATACTTTTGATATATATTCCTTTGCATTTTTTCATTTTTTTTGCGAAATAGTATTGTTAGTCATGGAAACAATTGTTTTCCTACGGCACATCTCTCAATTTATTTTGATACTCATCATTTTTAAAGTCTTTACACAGATGACAACTAAATTGTTGATCATTCCATTGGAATTTTTTGACTCAACCATCGAGTTGAATATAATCAAATAAAATTATGCCAATGACCAAAATCTCAAGTTTTATTTTGATAACGTAGTAGCAAAATTTTGTCCAATTCCTTCTTCTGCATTTTTTTTCTGATTTTGCCTACTTTGTATATTCAAAAATAAATATAAATATGTCTCTTACCTACCTGGAATACACTATCCAACACCAAAATAAGCTTCATTTAAAGCAATGCAATCAATCTTCAAATATAATTTCATGGGATCTCCGTAATACCATTAAATCTTTTATTGTAGCGCAAATAATTCTTTTTTCCTACATGTCAGCCTTAACATGGGATTTAACTTTATCGGTCGCATGAAGTTGTAACGATAACGACAAAATGTGACATAAGTTTCACTTTTTCTTAACATTTAAATCCTCTAAAGTGTTTTCTGCTGCTAAATCGGTTGTTTCATTTCTCGCACTTGATTCTTCAGATTGGACGGATTCATCCACAGCACGACCTGTATCCGAATCTTCCTCCTGCAAACCGCTAATTGATTTTCTAAGGATGATTTCAATAGCTAAAGGGTTAAATGAATTGAATGAAACATTTCTATAATAGTTGTCAAAATTATCCAAGTCTTTTATATAATTCATAGATAAATTGGACACAAATTTGGAAGTAAATTAAAGTACAAATAATTTTTCCATTTTCTCACTTCGCCATTCACTATATATTTCAATATATCCGATGACAAAAAACAGGTTATGATTTGACAAAACTTCCTAAGACTATGAGTTCCAGCCGTCAAAAAATAGGTGTAGATTTGCTAATGCATCAATCATTTTTTCTTCTGAATTTATTTTTCCGGAAAAGTTTATGCTGGAAAGGTTTTGGAAAGAATTGTAAGTATGATCAAAGGACCAGATTGAGCATGTTGATTTCTATTTGTATATAAAACTTATAAAAGAATGCAAGTCTAAAATCGCCGTTTTTTTTTATTATCACTATTATGATATTTTCCTCTAAACATTTGTTGATATGAAAAAGAAATGAAAAAAGAAAAGCAACTTATCTTATCAATTTCAACTCTAACATCTTTTTCATGATCAGAAATTGTACCAATTTCTTGTTTCAAAACACCTTTCTCATTCCATTCGAAAGGATCCGATCTGTCAACATTAAATTCAATTTTGTTCAACATTCATTCAACATTTTCATCGTCTCTTTTTTTCGTATTACCTAACTGTTACTTTAATCATTTATCATTTGTATTTTATCAAATTTATCTAATTTTAACATATTCATTTTATTCAATTCTTTAAATGTACCATTTAAAATAAGTTTAAAAGGACTGTCAACAAAATTTATTGCAAAAATTATTGCAAACAAAAGCGATCCAAAACATTGCCATTTCTATCCATCGATAAATAATAATTAATTTAAATTTCATTCAACAAAAAGGAAATAAAAAACTTACGACTTAATTTTTAGTTTATTAAGTTCTTTCATAAATTTTGTCTGTAACATTCCATAATTTGGTGTGTCTTGATAAGTGAGACTTTTGAGATGATTGTTTATGTCAACGAAACAATCCGGACATCCCTGAATGTTTCTTCTCTCTTTCTTTTTTAATCGTATAATTATAAAATTATAAGATTACTTGTATATGAATAAATTATCAAATTATTATTTTAAATTATTAATGATAATAAATAAAACAAACAATAGAAGTTCTATAATCAGTTTAATCATTTTAAATTATTATTGATAATAAATAAAACAAACAATAAAGGTTCTGTAATCAGTTTATAACTAATTATCAAATCATAAGAATAATTCTATGCAACTAAATAATAAAATTATCAGTGATAAATGATGAAAGAAGCTAGCAGAAGTGTAATTATATTAAACCACTTGCAGCTAATAATATCCGATCAGAAACTGTTTCTTTTACATGAGCGCAATCTTTTCGTGCCATACCTTTCCATGGTAATGTTGATGACACTAATTCAATTAGCATATAGAACATACCTGATTGAAATAATCTTTTTAATTCTACCTGTTATAATATTTAATTTTGACTAATCCGATGATTATGAAAAAGTAGTAATTTAGATCATAAATAGACAATTTTGCATTCTTTACCTTTGAACTTTATTTGTTTAATTTTATGAAAATATCTTAAAATTTCAAAAAATTACAGTTTGAGAACAAAAACAAAGAAATGCTTCTAACGTAAAATGAAATTAAAATGTTATTTAACAATTTTAAATTTCATAAATTTTAAATTTCATATTTAAAAATTAAAAATTTTTATTTATCAAATTACGATTTGCTTTTTATTACGACAAAATTTTTCATAAATAGGAATGAGCATTTTATATTCGTCACTGTAACCAGCTGGCCATTCCTATTTACCAGTAACTTTTTTAATTTTTTAAATAAAATTTTAAAATATTATCTTACTCCATAAATCATCATGTCTCCCTTGTTCTTTATATAAATGTACATTTATTGAACAATAGCGTACCGTACCACGAAATGCTACCTAAATTCATTGATGTTGAAGAAATTTTGCAGTAAAATTTGATCACGTATTTGATCACGTAATTTGATCAAATTTCATATAATTAAATTTTCCCTTTTCTTAATAAAGATTTTTCAAAGCTCTCTTCAATCATTTTATTGTTTTCAACAAATGCAATAAATTTTCGACAATTTTAATTTATCGTTAGAAAATTAAATATCAAAAGTAATTGTATTTTTTAAAAATTTAATAATATTAATTAGGCTCAGCAGTTTATAAACAAAAAAGTTTTCTGTCTTTTAATTTATAATCTTAAAGTTTTCGATATTTTCAACCGAAATTTTTAAAAATTTTTTCTTTTAGTATAAAACTTTTGCTTACTAAATCCTTTTCGGAATAATTTTTATTCTTCAAAAATTTTTTGTAATTTTACAAATTTTAAAATTTTGCTAAATTTCTTGAAATTCTCAGCGTTTATCAAAATCATTTTCGGTCAGATACTTTGATCAAAACATTTCAAAAATAAACAAATAAGTAAGCATAATTAATAGAAACCTGTTTATTTCTATTACAACAATGTTGTAATGTCATAAATTTTACTAGTATGAATAAAATGCAATTTCATTTGCTTATTGTTTAATTTGTAATATTTTAACTTGAAATGATAAGTCATTCAACAAGTTTGAAATTCATTGAGGTTAATTATTTCATGCATTTATTTCTTGTTTTCTAAATTAGAATTTTCATATAAATTATTTGGGAAATGTGAAGGCAATACCTTTGCAGGTGGATGCAGTACTTAATTTATTTTTTTCACTCGTATTTCTAATCAATAATTAATAAAAGATAAAAGATTCTAATTGATAAAAGATGAATAATTGAAAATTTAACTTGAACCTTTTTCCTCGCTTCACGAAGTTTAAGTTTTCCACTTTTATCCGGAAACATAATTTGTCGAGCAAGGCCAAAATCAAACATAAATACTGTATTGGCTTTTTCATCACGACCCATTGCAAAATTACTTGGCTTAATGTCACGATGTACAAAGCCAACTTTATGCAAATCATGTATTGCCTATATATTTGTTTCATTTTATTCGTCTAATTTACTATTTTCATCTATCCTATTTCAAATTTAATTCATTCCAACCAATCTACAAATTTAATTCAAATTCATTTCGATACGATAGAATTTAATTTATTTCATTTCATTTTAAATTAAATTTCTTTTCCCATTTCCAATATCTCTGTTGCAAATGAAATATTTTCCTTTTTGGTACTTTTTCTCCTACTATTCTTCCAAATGATATTTCATAAGAAAATATTTTTATTACCGTCGTTGTTTGTATTCCAATTTTTAAAACACTTCCAATTGACATTTTTCGATCATGCAATCGTCTTCTAATATCTGATAATTCCTTTCCCAACAATGACATTATCAGAAAGCTACAATTGTCACAATTGAAATAATATCAGAAATTAAAAATATCATGACTGATTAACATTAGATATCAGAAAACTCGAATTGTCACAGTTGAAATAATATCAGAAATTGAAAATATCATAACTGAATAATACTAGAAATTAGAAATACCATAACTGAATAATATTAGAAATTAAAAATATCGTAACTGAATAGTATTAGAAATTAAAAATACCATAACTGAATAATATTGGAAATTAGAAATACCACAACTGAATAATATTAGAAATTAGAAACACCATAACTGAATAATATTAGAAATTAGAAATACCATAACTGAATAATATTAGAAATACCATAACTGAATAATATTAGAAATACCATAACCGAATAATATTAGAAATTAGAAATACCATAACTGAATAATATTAGAAATTCAAAACATCATAACTGAATAATGTGCATTACTATTTTTGCTTTATTTTTATTATATTTTAAATAGCATTCTATTGGCTATGAAAATATGCTAATTATTTATTATATTTAAGCTTTGTTTTGTTTTATTATATTTAAAATCAATAATTAAGAAAAATAAATTAATTATAAATTCTTAAGCAATAATAATTCCTTTTTTGGAATTGCTAATTTTTGGCGAATATTTCAAAATGTGAAATTTCAATGTCACAAACAATTTGATTGTGACGAAAATAAACTTTTCACTTTTTCAATTTCCATCTTTAAAAGTTTAAAAATTAGTAATATTTCTTTCTTTCTTTCTTTCTTTCTTTCTTTCTTTCTTTCTTTTTCTATCTTTTCTATTCCTCTCATTTCTTAACTTCCTTTTTCTTTTGTTTAATTCTCTTTGAACTTTTTTAAAATTTATTTTAAAAATATAAAAATTTTTTGTTAAATGTATAACATTTTCGGTCTTTTTCACTCCTTTTTCCTTCTCTTTTACTCTTTATTTCACTTTTTTCTAGCAATTATTTATTATCTTTTTTTTCCTTCTTTCTTTTATCACCTCTTAATGTAATGAAAGTTAAATCCTTCTCTTTTACTTTTTATTTCACTCTTTTTCTAACAATTATTTAGTGCCTTTTTTTCCTTTGTTTCTTTTTCACCCTTTAATGTAATTAAAATTAAAGTGTTCTCCAACTTGAACTTAGCAACAGACGTTTTTTAGTTTAAAATTTAAATTTGAAATTGAACTTGTAGTTAAATTCTTTCCTATTTTAAAGTTTGAATTATAATTTTATTCGAAATTCTGTTATTTTTTTTCATATCAAACTGGAATTATAATTTATATATATAATTAATACTAATTAAATCTATTAAAATTTATAATTAAATTTATATAAATAAATAATATACATAAAAATGATAGTAAGATACCATTGAATGTTAGCAATGTATAAAATATTAGCTTTGTTTGAGCAAAATTTACTTTCACAAACAAATTCATTTTCCCAAGGGTGTAAGCATTGGCTTAAAATCTATGCATAATTGAATGTATAAATTAAGCAGATGATGAAATGAATAATTAAAAAATTAGAATTTCTTTTTTTCCTAACTTAAAATAAAAGAGAAAGGCAAATTTCATAATTATATTTAATTCATTTTATATAACCTATAGATTATAAAATTAAAAATTTATACTCAAATACTGAAAATGCTAATTTGTATTTAATATTCTCTAAATTACAATTAATCTATTAGAATATATTCACTAAGCCAATATTTTTTTATTCTAATAAACAATTAAATAATTATGAAATCATGTACACATAGATATTATAATTAGCTGAAATTTCTTTAGTTAAAATTAGCTAAAATTTAACTATCTTTTATTAAGGAAATTTTATTAGCTAAAATTTCCATTAATTACTTACCTAACGAATTTACATTTTTACTTTCCTCAAATTATAAGCATTATTTGAAATAAGGAATTCAAGGACATACATTATCATATCAAATAGTTGATATGAGCAAAATAGAAAAAGATGAATATAAAGAAAAAGAAGAAAGTCGTATAATTCAAATAGGTAATGATAGTTGTATCAATTAAAAATTTTAAAAAAACAAAAGGAAAAAACAAAAGAAAATTAAAATTAATTAATTCCTCATTCACACATTGATGAAATATTGAGAGTAATACTATATTTGAAAATATTTTAAAGATTAATTATTACCATTGATTAATGAATTTGAATATTGAAATTATAAATTTGAAAATTAGCATTATTAAATTTAAAAATAATATATAACAGTACTTGTAAGATGATGTTTTACCAGCAGCTAATAGCTGGCATACATGTTTCGATCGCTGCATTTTTTTCAACACATATACTTCCATTTTTAAAATTTCATCATCTTTTGATTTCATTAATGGTTCCACTTTCATGGCAGCCCTCTACAAGTTAATTACTTTGGAAGTGTTGTAATTGAAAATGTTGTAATTGCAATTGCCACTTTCATTTCTATCATTTTTGTTTGTTTATTAGAATTTATTTGATATTAGATAATTAGATAAATTGTTCTCTGATTATCTTATTTTTAAATAATCAGTTAGATTAAGTTTGCCATTAAATTATTGTTTTATTTAATGATATGACTACTTTAACTTACATACGTTATTTATCAGATTTTAAATAAATTAAAATAATTAATACGGTAATACATCTCGGAAAATGGAATTTTCTTCTTTTACTTTCCTTAAATTGTATTTACTTTAACTTCTTTGTTTTTTAATTAATTAATATGAATTAATTATTATTATATACTATATATATATATAGGAAATATTTTTGATAATTAATAAATATTATTTTTCAATGGTACCTTGGTATCCTTAATATTCAACACCAAATATACCATACCACATGAACCCTCGCCAAGTTTTTTCTTCACCAAAAATTGATCCTTGATTTTATCACCTATAGCAATTTTTGGTGCACCTAATGTTGAAGCCATTTTCTGTAAGATTATATCTTTCTTCTTCCTTTCTTATTACAAATAATTATTCTCAATAATTGTGATTAATCCATTCCAATATTAATTTCTTATTTTCTAATAATTTAGTATTGCAATTTAGTATGCAAACATTTGGTAGAATTTGTGAACATTTTTTTTAGTAATTCTTTCAAAATAAATCTTTGCGAATAAATTTATTAATACAATTTTAATCGATTAATTTAATTTAAGATTAGAATGAAATTGGTTCGTATAGGTTGTCAATTGTCCCGGATATTGGTTAATTTAGAAAGTGTAGCTTTGAATTAAATTAATTTAGGTCGACATCTGCGTTTATTAAGCCTCTTTTAGTTAATCGCTGTCTGGAGATTATTATCGCTTTTTTTCATACTGAGAGAGAGAGAGAGAGAGAGAGAGAGAAAGAGAGAGAAAATAATAGAATTCAGCTTGAGAAGATTTTTTGAAATTTTAGAAAATATAATAATGAATGATTATTATGCATCTTTTCTCGTATAGTACTAAACTTAGGAAAAATTATAAAACAATCAATCAAATATAAATTTATATTCAAAATTTAAAATTTAAATATATAAATTTGAATTCGAAATTTTACACAAATCGAAGTGTCATTCCTTTCGTAGAAGTGAAATTAACATGACGAAACAAAAGAAGCACAATTAAACAAACGTATGAAATCAACTAATCAAATTTTATTTCAATCCTAAGTTTTAAATTTGAAGTTGNATTTTACACAAATCGAAGTGTCATTCCTTTCGTAGAAGTGAAATTAACATGACGAAACAAAAGAAGCACAATTAAACAAACGTATGAAATCAACTAATCAAATTTTATTTCAATCCTAAGTTTTAAATTTGAAGTTGCAAAAAAGATATGTCAACCAGGTGGCTTTCAAAAGTTTACCAAGTTGATTTGTTTGTTTGAACAAACAATTCCGAGAATGTAAAATGAAATGTACAAATTTGATGGGATGTTCGAGTAATACTTCAAGCTAAGCTTTCTGTCACGAATAATAGAAAAGCAAATGACCATTAGAATGCACTTTATGCATTTATAATAATCATGCATTTGTCTTGCAAATTTGCAATTTGCATGGCATGCAAAAATCATTTTTATTATTATATTTCATCAATCAATGATTTCTAACTGCTTTGACAATCTAATAACAGCTCGTCGTTTATAAATGATGTAATAAAAGCATCATGATATGATAGAATGAGAATATTACGAAGGATTGATAAGTTTTAAGCCAAAAAAATGGCTTGCTTATATAATTAGCGGTACTGTAAAAGTATCGTATACCACATTACGCCGTATACTGTACTATAACAGTATCGCATATCATTCATTTCATAATAGTGCAGTTTTTAATGTTTTATAATGATAGATATGTAACTGATTTCTTCCTCTTAGATTTTGAGAAATAGAAGAGAGTAGTTCGGAAGGAATTAACCAAATAATCCCTCATCTATGCGATATCATTGTGAAATTATTATAATTATTTAATTTATTCATTTTATGGATTTCAAATAACTGGCAATAGTATTTGCTACAGTAAGGTAAGAAGCAAAATCCGAAGAAGGTGGAAATAAAAAGAATGAAATTAAAAATAATTAAGAGCTTTTGAGGAAGAATGAAGGAAGAGAAAATGATTTTAGAGTTTGTTTAAGATGAATCATATATTTAAATATGAATTTTTCGGATATTAATATCATTAAAGGATATAAAATTTAAATAGAATAAAGAGAGATATATTTCATGTGATGCCTTTTTTTATGAGTAATTTAATTTATTTCAAATTTCACATGAAAAAACTATATTCAAATTTGAGGTACATGTAAAGATTTTACTTTCACTTATGTAATTTAAATTATCCCATCAATAAATTATAAGATTATTTTAATGAATCATTAATTAAATTAGTAACATGTTTTGTACAGACTTTACTTTCACTTATGNTAATTTAAATTATCCCATCAATAAATTATAAGATTATTTTAATGAATCATTAATTAAATTAGTAACATGTTTTGTACAGACTTTACTTTCACTTATGCAGTTTAAATTATCCAATCAATAAATTATAAGATTATTTTAATGAATCATTAATCTAATTAGTAACATGTTTATTTTAATCCAAATTGCTTAATTTTAATTCTTATCAATAATAATTATTGATTAATAATAAATCACAATTATTAATATTCATGCATACAATTTTTTCTGATTTTATTACACTTGCATATTTATTATTATTATTAATTTTCTTTTATCCTAAAATCTAAATATCTTAAAGAGAAGATAAGTATGATATGAATTAAATAATTTTGTTGCATTTGTAATAATTCAAAGCTAAAAATTTACTATTTAATATAAATGATTAAATTATTTAGAGGAAACTTTATAATCTTAATTTATCATTTCATATACTTCCTATCATTCATTTTTTGCACGTATATAACCTTAACTTATCATTTCATATATTTCTTCTTATCATTTCAATTCATCCATTTTATGCACATATATTTTTCATCAATTTTATCACTTACATATACATTATGATATATGTTACACAAATTATTCTCATCTTTGTTTAAAATATATTATTTATTTTTAACCATTTATTTAATAATAATATAATAAAATGGATGAACTTAAATGATAAGAATTATAAGAAATGATTAATTAAGGTTATAAATTTTCCTTTAAATAATTTCATCATTTATATATTAAATATTATATTATAGTAGATATATATTAAATAGATATATATTATATTATAATAGATATATATTAAATATATTATATTATATATTAAATTTTTGGGCTTCGAATCATTTATGTAAAATAGTTTTGATCAATGATTAAAATGATTGATTATATGTTACTGTTACCTTGGATACGCATTTCATACGTTTCCTTGGTGATAGATAGATACCATTTCAATTTCTGTTCACTTTCTTACATTTCTTTCCTTTTGTTTTTTCTATCAAGAAAAGTTCATTAAACCAAAGTGAGCAAAGTGTGTAGTGAATGAATGAGTGAGTGTGGCAGATAAATGAATGAATGAATGAATGGATGAATGAAATGGTGAAAATTGTAGGAATGGAATGGAATGGAATGGAATGAAGTGAAGTGGTGTGATATGGAATGGAATAGAGTGGAGTGAAGTGAAGTGAAGTGGAGAAGAGGACTGAAATGAAATGGTAGAGTATGAAGTAGAATTAGTTTAGTTATTTGTTTAACAGTTGACAAAATGGTTGACAAAGAAAAAAAAAGGTTCATGCAAATAACAATACAGCTGGAAAGAAGAAAAGAACTAGCATGATATATCAACTATCTGCCTCTCTTATATGACATCGATCTTTTCTCTCTTCTCATTCCTCTCATTTCTTTTCTTTTCAATTATTCTCTTCTTTCATATTAACTAACTTTCGTATGTTGTTTGATGTTCAACTTTCGATTACATTTCGTTCTTTTGTTTCTAACAATTAAATATTTGATGAAGAAGATATTTAAATATTACTAAAAATATATACGGTTGTGATATTTTTGATTATAGCGGGAAGGGAAAGATAAGTGATGTGATAAGATGATATGAAATGGTAGAGTATAGAGTTACATATTTTCTTGGAATGAAATTTGAAGAAACCAATCGGTCTATTGGGATTACTTCCCTAAATGATTCCAAATAGTCTTTTATCTAGTCGTAAATGAATGAATGATATATCCAACGTGATCCATTTCTAGCTGTACTGAGATATCTCGTGATCTTCTGAGAAAATGAATGGATCAGACAAGCGCTGATCTCAGATGATGTTTAATATATCTGGCCTTTTTTTTTTCAAATCTCCGCTAATCAGAAATGTTACAACGAAATGGGAAATATGAAACTAAAATTGTTAGTTGAAATTGAAAATGATATTATCGAATATATATTTCTCTCCCTCTCTCCCTCTCCTTTCTCTCTCAGATAGCATAGGATTTGAGAATAACCGGTAGCATAGGATTTGAGAATAACCGGGAAATTTCATTAACAAAAATGTTAAATTTTGCTTAGAGGATATCAACGTAGAAAGGACAACAAGATGTTCCCTTTAGTAGATTTACTTGATAAGAGAGTTCACTAATGTGACGATCATCAAGTACTTTCGCCTCAATTTCACTTTTTCACTCTCTCTCTCTTTTTCTCTCTGATTTTTCATATAGAGATCAATTATGCAAGAGTAATATCCTTATATCTAATTACATGGGAAAAGAATAATAAGAAACAAATAAGAGAGAGGGAGAGAGAGAGAGAGAGATGAGTCATCAAAGTAAAAGAGATTGAGGTGTAAGCGAAATGATGCCTTAGGTGTTGTTCTCTTTCGGGACATACGAAGAGAGGAAAGAAGAGTGTCCTATCTTCAATAAGACAAGAAGAGTAGTAACTCGTGCTCATCTTCTTCTCCTCTTGCTAACTGTTCGCATGCTGTCGACTGGCTCCTGTCGGCTATCGATTCGGCTGACCAATGTCATCAATTCTTTTCCTTCTGTATGTGCTGGTTTGTTCGTCTAGTCCTGTTTGTCTGCCTATTTTGTCCGTCTGTCTGCCCTTTTCAGTTCATGTGGAAGGGATAAAAATGGAAGGTTTATACACCTGAAGGTAACTAACTGCTAACTACTGCTATTCATTTGTAAAGACATTAGGAATAGTATTGTTTGGATTACATCACATTGACTCTCATTATAAACCATTGTTAGTTGTTCCCGATAGAAATATGCTTGCCCTATTAAATATTATTGAGAAAAATTCCCATACATTACAATGTATTTCCTACAAAAGATATTTCCAGAAGATTTGCGTGAGTTTATAAATCATTTTTTGCAAAGCATATGTAAGCTAAAACTAGAATATCTATGAATTGATATTGTGAGAGATGTAAATTAGTAATTAGATATTTTTTGGACCAATTAAATAATTAAGTAATCTTTGCGTACGATACGTATACTTAACTATCTAACATAACTGAATAATCTTTTATATACAATCTAGTTGATAATAAAAGATTATTTCAGGGAATGAGAGGTTAGTTTGCAAAAGGTTTCAATGATAATGGGTTAATAGTGAAATTGTTTATTGTTTATTTTCAATGAATGCATGTGCATTCTCAAATTGTGAGAAAATTTGCAGTTTCAAACAAAGTTTTCTGCAGCAGCTTTATTGAAGTTAATGCGAAAAGTGCTGCAATTTCTGTAATTCCATCCGGAAAATTTATTCTGCTTAAGCTGTTTCAGATCTTCCCAAATTTGTGGAATATATTCCTATAATCGGTTTTTTCATGGTATTATAGTCGCAGATTAATTATTAAGTTTTATTGGACATACATTCGTTACGACTCAAAAATATATTCTTTGCGATGTCTTTTTCAATTATACAATATGCACTCTGTTACAGGGCGATAACGTTTGATGGGCAATATTATATCAGATAATGGCTACATCCACTGCGGCAAGTTGGGCCGATTTATGGGTAAAAGATATTTTTTGTGGAATTTTTTAAAAAACAGTTGAGAGAAAAAAAAGGAAAAGAAATGCATAGCATTAGAAGTAAAGCAAGGATCATCGGGAGGTAATTTTGTCCATGTAACTATTATAAAGGTTTGGGAAATCATTTTTCTACCGTTAAAAAAACTAATTTTTGGTAAACCAACTAGAAATCATATAATTTAGGATCAAATAGACATTTTGGCTTCTCATACGCAAAAAGGTATTGAAAGTTTGGAAAAATATGGAATGTTCTTGAAAGAAAGAGCTGCGATTGAAGATGAATATGCGGCTAGATTAAGGTGAAGTTTATTTTGAATTTTCTAAATAGCGATTTATTAGTCAAATGTGCCACATCTCCATCATCTTTATTTGCTTCAGACGTACCAATCAATCGTCAGATCATATTTCCGTGGTCAATTTAGCGCTTAGATATTTCATGATATTGAAGAGTATTTCAGCTGTTTTGTAGCATTATAAATTAAGAAAGAATGGTAAATGCTACTACTTATCTTTGCAGAGCTTTGGTGAAAAAAAATTTGGGGAAGAAAAAAGAAGATGAAGAATCAGCCAAAGCTTATACATTTGTCAGTTCGTTTCACTCCATCCTACACGAAGTTGAAAGTCTCGCTGGTCAACACGAGGTTTATTTTGATCATACAAAACTTTGTGTTTAAACTTTTTGCATAAAGAAGATATTATATCATACGATTTTTATCCTGGAAATTTGAGATCATGCGATTTTTGTCCTGGAAATTTACTTCTCTTATAATTTATTCTCATAGGTCTTGCAGTTCAAATGGAATCATAGAATTTATTGGTTTGAATTTATTGCTTTTGTTGAACATATTTTCTGTGAAATTGGCTCTACTTTGAAATGAAATTAAAGATTCTTCTCCCTGCAATGTGTTGTACTACATCTCATTCCTGTTTGATAATTGCAGGTTATTGCGGAAGGCCTACGAAAAGATATTCACCCGGCTTTATTAACAAAATGTGCTTCATTTCGTGCAGCTCGCAAAAATCATCTTAATGAGCTCCATATTATTAATGGTGTTCTGAATGCTTCCATCGATAATATGTTCAAATTTCAAAAGAATTATTGGTACATTCTTTGCTTTCCATTTTCTCATGAGTTTTTAAATAACTTTAACAATTTAAGTGATGAATAGACTAAATGAAATGGCCTGACGATTCATATTGTAAGTCGTTTTCGGAAGTGTAGATGTTGCTACAGACTCGTTAGTATTAAATAGCCAAATAGTCCACTCTTCATCCTGTACTTAATATTATTAGAATAAAATCTGGTAGTGATCTGGAGTATATTTTTTTTAACAAATTTGGCATGAAAAATGATTTACATATATATATAATATTAAATGGATAAGACATTTCATCAAAGTTATAACGAACGACTTAGAGAAATTAAGACTGTTTGAAGCGGGACTTAATATGTTGCATTAGAAAAAAAGTTTGATTTTGTAGCAAGACATTCAAAGAAGCTGAAGTGGCTCATTTAAAGTACGATAAAGCTGAGAAGAATATGGATCTGTCGCGGGCAGATTTGGAAAAAGCTAAAAATAATGCAGTGCAGAGGACACAAATATGTGAGGATGCAAAACAAAATTATGCACATGCATTGCAAGCTGCAAATCAACAACAGCATCAACACTACAATCAGCTGTTACCACAGATACTGGAGGTTTACTTTAATCGGTTTTAATACCTTCAACGTTTTTTCTTTATGTTGCTACTGTTAGGTAAATGAGTTTATCCCGTGGATGTTTGTTTTTCAGAGAAAGTAAGGAGAGGAGTTGAAATTGTTTTAAATTGGTTCCCATTATATATTATTACCTTCGTAATGAATGGGATATACAGACTTTTTTTCAATGTAATCGAACACTGATTTTTGTGAAAATTTGTATTTCGATATGATAAGTGCAGTAAATGATTGTGTGGAAATTGCAGCGTTTGAGAGCAGTCGACGAGGAGCGAATTAGCGAAACAAAATCACTGATTTTACAAGGTATCGAAGCTGAAACCAAAGTAATGAATATAATTCAACGATGTTATGATGATATGAGAAAAGCTGCTGAGTCTATATCACCTTTGAACGATAGTGCTAGTGTCGTTGAACATTATAGGTTCGTTTTTGTTAGATTTAACATCTTGTTAAATAGTTATCCATAAAAAAAGAATTGAAGTTGTAAAGGAACTCAGAGATCTGCAGATATGTGGTAGCCCAGATAAGGAGGCAGATGCTACATACCACTTCTTGCAAGTTATAGTAGGATAAAGCTTAGTACCACTACGAACTGCCACGCAATGTGGCTTGATATAGTTCTACTAAGGATAGAAATCAATGGCGTCATATAAATAGTGATTTGTATTAAAAACATTTCATTAATTTTTAAAAATTAAGGGCTTCAAACTTAAGAGTGTTCATATTCATATCATTTGTAAAGTTGTTTTCCAAATTTGGTATACTATAACGTTGTTATATATTTATTAATTCTGAATTATGCCTTTGTTATTATTTGATGTTATATAATTAAAGTGACATTATTGTTGTTTATTATTTCTCTCATCAAAGAAATACTTACCTCTATCATTATGTCATTTAAAGGTGAATCGTTATAAGAGATACCGTTTGTTTAAATCATCGCGCTGTTTGTTTTCAGATCGGGCTACGCACATCCTGAACCTTTCACCTTCGAAGATTTCGGCTCTCCATCGGCAATTATCACCAGTGAAGGTACGAGTAGTGTGGATACAATGAAAAGGCCAACAAAAAATGGTTCGATGGTGCGAATCAATCGAAAACCGAGTATGGGACTTTTTCGAGGCAGCAATCATTCAAGGAAGGTCATTTTAATTCGAATACTTCATTTGCTAATTTTATTTTTTTATTTTAATTATTGTTTTAATTCGAAAGTTATTTTAACATTTTAATTCATTATTTTAATTCAACACGACTATTTGAATTAAAGACTAATTGCCTCTAGGATGTTTTAAAAGTAATATGTAGGTGAGATTAGTCCAGATTAAATGTCCTGACGAAGAATTTTTTGGTCCGCGTGATTCACGATGAGCGTTTGACCTATCAAAGATATGACGGATATACGCCAGTGTGGTCAGAGAAATCAATGACATAAATCATTCGTCTGTCAGTCACAGTCGGCGATAAATCCATCGTATTATTTACTGATATAAACGGTCATCTGGGAAACATCTGACAGGACATTCCTTACATCGTTTTCCGCATTACATTTTAGACTTGTTGATTTGAATTTAGGATGGTACGGTTGATTTTCGTTCTTATCCACCACAGCAAAGATGTCGAAGATTACAACACGAAATTGAAAACATTGAAAAAGAAATTGCAAAAAACCAGCAAAGTCGTGAAGGTGCTGCGAAAATGTTACAAGTTTACAAGTACGTGTCAACTAGACCATTTCACTATATTTTATTCCTTTGTTGAATTTAAACTGAAAGATTTATCATTGGTTCGTTAATCCAGACGTTAGTTAAAACTTGTGCTTATTGTTATATCGTTTCGTCGTGACCTGGATCTTTTTTTTAGTTTTTCAGCATAAATAAATGTGTGACTGATTTACAGGGACAATCCAAAATTAGGTAATGCAAGTGATGTGGACTCGGAAATTGTGATTTATGCTAAGAAATGTGAAGTTCTGAATCAGCAATTAGCAAAATATAAAGTATGTTTTTTTCCGTTTTTGGTTGCCTTTTTGCTTTTATCGAGTTTCATTGATTGAAAAGTNTAGCAAAATATAAAGTATGTTTTTTTCCGTTTTTGGTTGCCTTTTTGCTTTTATCGAGTTTCATTGATTGAAAAGTGATTTTCAATTATTTGCGTAACATTGAATTTCGCTTTTGATCGATGTTAATTAGTCCTATTTTTTACTAATATTAATTTATTGATGAACGAATAAAATTCCTGCACTATGAGGTGGGGATTATTAGTACCTGTAGGGAGTATGTGTATTCACATGTATGTTTCAGGCAATGCTATCAGAAGCGCAGACCGAACTGAATATACCGATATCAGTTGTCGGGTATGTTCACAATGTAGTTAGAATTAGCGTTCATGATTGTATAAAATTAAGAAAAGATCTCAGCAAGAAATTATTACCAATGTCGACTGACTGATAAGTGAAAAAGAGGGATCTGGTTGAGATGTGGAGCATTATTTGATGGTTTCTCCGGTATGATTCCGGACACTAGAAAGTTTCTTGGTTAACGGCAATAATGAATAGAGGACATAGAGATTTTGAAGCAAATTATTAGTCCATTTATTGGACGAGACTAGAGGACTCTGGAACATCTATTCTGTATATCAGTAGTAGTCATCTTTAATCACCTTTAAGGTACCTATTATTTGATTTAAAAAAAGTCATGATTTCATGTCTCTTGCATTTACAGATTGGAGGCTCCAATGAGACCACCTCTTCCATGTCAATCAGGACTGAGTACGCCATCGCAGTCTTCTCCACGTCAGATGTCAACCCCGAATACTGCAGTCAACATTCATCGTTCATCTTACTCAGAAGAGTCAATCTCTTCAGATGGTTCAGTTCCCATTGCTAATCATCGGAAAGCAATTTCACCCGAACCAGCAAAAAGTTTGTTTCGTTTCACTCAATTTTTCAAAACTGTTGAGAACGATCGATAATTTCTATTAATGAAGGCCGATTCAGCTCTAAGTTACACAAGGTGTTCAGGATTTTTTAAAGAATATCAAGCAACTATTGTTTTTCAACTTGAAGAAATTTTTTTTTAATCTAATTCTACAGTTGACAGATAATTGGTCGATTACTAATTGTTTTTTAACATGCTCACTTGAGAGGATTTTCTCCTTTATTATATGCATCACAGTGTATGAAAGAGGAGAATTGTGGAGTAATGATAGTGGGATAAGATAAATTTCGACAGTAATTGTGTCATATTATATTTGGTTCAAATTCTGGTAACTAATTGATAATTCAGAAGCGACAATAGTAGAGAAATCAGAAGTGTACGAAGAATGCGATATGCCAGCGTTAGGCACTTGCACTGCATTGTACGCATTTGAAGGTGGTAGTGAGGGTACAATGGCTATGGAAGAAGGTGATGAAATGATATTGTTAGAACGAGACGAAGGAGATGGTTGGACTCGAGTTAGGCATGTTTCTTCGGCACGCGAAGGTTTTGTCCCTACGTCTTACTTGCAGTGTAGGTGGTACCCTGACTAGTGAACCTCGTTAAAGTGAGATATTGCTCTTATTTTTTTGTTCGGTGAAATCGAAAGAGCTTAAATCATTTCTCATTGTTTCGAAACAATTAAATGAAGTGAATTGTACATCGCTTTCAAATGATATAATAAAATAATAAAATAGGCTTTTTCTCATGAATGTTATCTTAGGTCGATCGATGACTTCTTACAAGTGATGGTTTTAACTGAATAATACCAGACCGTTCCGTACTTCTGGGTTTAGCTCTGCTACTAACAGATCATTGAATTACAATGACACCAATGTTTATTAAGATCCTTAGATAAAGCTCTAAATTGTTAACATTACCTTTTCAATTGGATTCAAATGTTATTTTTGCATCTATTTTATAAGTTGAAATGCTCAATATTAAGCTTATGGATTTAATATATTTAATTTCTAATTAGTACATCTTTGAAGTGCATGTGCGTTATCACTGAACAGGAAGATTTATGTTAAGCTTGGTTTAGAAATTTATCGCAAGACTACGCTGTTTGGTTCGGTTTTCTTTTTTACTGTTTAATTCGGTTCACATGTTTATTTCGATACCTATACTGTTGTTGTATACAAGTGGAGTTCGGGTCATTCCACTTTTAATTATTCCATAAACTGATGGACTGTTGAGGTATCGCTTTCTCTGTAAGCGTTTTTTATAGTTTTATCATCGAGATTGTCTAAATATTTTTTTAGCTCAATTATTAATACTAACATTTCCGCTATGAACTATTGCTGTTGCACTCTTATGCTTATTTTAAGCTGTTATTTACTTTTTGGAACGTTATTTACTTCTTGCTGCCTAGTTTATCCAGACTGACAATGATGTTTATTGTTCATATTTTGAGATGTACTTACTGGTATGTGTCAACAAAGAATCTTCTCTCATCTATTATTACATCCATATGACTTTCAGCTGTAATATAGTTACAGAAAAATCTGTTGTAAGCATATTTCTATGGAATTGAAATTTTTTCCAGAACAGAACTCAAAGACGGAATGAAGCAGTGCATGAGAACTATTTTACCTTGTCATTATATTTCGGAACGAGCCACTGCTGTGTAACTGAGACAAAGACGAATTATGCAGCAAGGCAATTTGACAGATAAAATTTAAAAGGGCTTTTTTAGGAGGGTGTTATTCGTTCGTGAATGTACATTCTCTTTTCACACTTAGCTATAAATCGAACAAAGCAAAGCGAATACCGGTATCTTACAGTATCATCACACTTCACGCTAGCACAGCAGTACCCAATTCAATACATAGTTCATAGTGTCCTGATAACATATTTTACATCGTTGCGACTTCAAGGGTTCATTTGATTTGTATACTGATAATACTTCTTTGCACATTAACATATATTATGGTTCTGTTTACTTTTTTCCCAGTAACTTTGTGCAAATCACGTCTTCCAATCCAGTTCTTTGGCCTACTTTTTTGTTTTTACTTCACTGAAAACTCAAATTTCGGTATTTTTATCCAATGTCTATTTCTTTTAACGACAGTTGCACTTCCTATAATATATGAAGGAAGAATGCAGGCGTCGACGAAATTGCATTACTTCCATACTCTAATACCAATAAGTTTAGACTGAACTAGTCTAGAAAAACACTGTGCTCAGCAAAAGGTCGGATACTAGTATGTAAATAAAATTGCAGCATCACTGTCGAGAATATTCCGACTATTCAAATTGTGCAACAATTGCCTGTTAAGAGATCTATCCTTGCAAATTGTAATGTGAATAAAGGGAAATGATTGGATATGAAAGGGCTTTAAACTCCTACTTCTACAACTTGTTCAAAAACTTTCTCACGAGCAATATAATCGAGAGTCCACTGATGATTTGGAAAACCTTCCTTCAACTGATTGATGTAGCGATTCGTCACCTGAAATGAAATGCGATATATTCTACTTGGGAGTAATCTATCATGGATAAAATATATTTCAACGGGATTACTTCTGGCGCTTTTCCGAGGTACTGGCTGACAACAACCAAGTTTATGACTGCTTCTGCATTGTTGGCATCCCTCTGCAGCGCTTCCTGAAAATTACATGCACGTTTTCATTCGTATTCCAATATTGCCCTAAAGGAAGTTTTTCCAATAAAAGCTTACAATATATAGCTTGCAGAAGTGGGAGTTTAAATATTATTCATCACAATGGCTCGTGATATGGAATAACCTTCCTGAAACCAAATTTTCTTAAACTTACCAAAAGTAATTTTTCCGCTTCCTGGTATTTTTCTTGCTGAATTAGGCTCGATGACTGAGCGACTAATAAAAGCGGGGTAGCACCATATTTATCTATCATTTCTTGATAAGCATAAAATACATCTTTCAATTTATCTTTTCCCTGGAAACCATACTTTTGATAATTTAATTTAGGGGAAAAGTGAAGTAGCGGATTGTATTTTTTTACCGAAATTTGATAAAAATCCATAAGCTACAATACCCCATCCATTCCATCTTTCCAGAAAAACTGTTTGATGCAAATTCCAGTAACTTTCTTCATTATGATTTTGTGATGCTGTATAAAAACATAATTTACTTAAATAGTTAAAATCCAGTAAAAACCATTAAAATTTTATAATTCAACAAAAACTAACAAGCGCGCTATTGACCCAGGCAAGTGCCAATTGAGTTATAGTAGCATCTTCATCTATTTCTTGCATTTTTTTGATCTCTTTTGCAGCGAGATCAACTCGATCAATCTTTAGCAAACACTGTACGGTCAAGGCTTTACTTTCCAAAGAATCGCACTGATGCAGCAAACGTAATGCTTCCTCAACATTCTGAAAGCTGTGAAGAACTTACGGTGAGAAACTAAATGCACAGAAATGTCTAAACATCTGATTTTGTCATTTAATTTTTAGACTTAATTTATAAGCTAAACTCTTTTGCAATGTAGATTAAAAATCCTAACCGTATCTTGGATGTAAAAAAGAAAGATACATTCCAATATATGCAAACATCAAATATATTGGCCTAACACAAAAATATCGTATTTCAAAATTCCCAATCACAAATCACTAGTTACTATATTTTTGCAACAAATAGAGCAAAAAACAGGAAAACTTATGGCATCCTCTGGTAAGGAAAACATGAGAAAAATACATACCTGCTCATGGATGTACATGTGAGCTGCCAATAATAAAACAGTATCGTCCTGAGGAATTTCTTCATTTAGCTCCGTTTCAAATTCTTTCATTATCGTTGCTCTGAAAAATATGACTAAGATTGGAAATAGATAAGGTGAGGCTTACGTGAAGGTCTAACGGAGTCGACAAAAATGTTGCAGTTTTTAGAAATCCCCAATGAATCGAAAAATCTTCTAACAACAGATGCTTGCAGATAGAAAACTATTACTGTTCAACTCTAGTACCCTACAGTTTCTGATTGACGGGGTCCACAGAGATTTTCTACAATAAAATGCTAAGAATCAATTTTAACGAGAACGAAATCGATTCAAGCCTATGAGTGACTTTCAGTACTCTACAAATTATAAACCTTTTTTAAAGAAAAAAAGAATAAGAGGAACTCGGAATTCATAATTCATCCTGATATTTTGCATTTTAACTAAATGAGCCCTTCGGGAAGTTTTTCATCATTTACTTACCTTTTATCTGGATTTGCTAAATAGTCTGCGAAACATCGAACTGCTCTTAGAGCGGGTGAGGTTGAACGCTTTTCAATTTCACTAAGCACTAAATTTGGCTTATTTTGTGCGAGATATGCTCTGTACATGTAGACATCCTTCAATATTTTATCACTTTCCTCTTTTACTCGTAAATTCTGCAAATATGACTGATCCCCACTACAGAATTTTCATAATAAATATACTGGAAATTAATCCAATAAATGTGATGCACTTATAAAAAGACTATCATAATTTTTCTACAGGAAAATTTTCCTTCGACTGTTTGATCACATCAAGAACTGCAAAACTTACACAGCTTTGAATACCCCCAAAATTTAAATTAGCAAATTTGATTATTTTATCTCCGGTACACTAAAGAATTGATATTTTGATCATAAATAATTAAAGTTTATTTCGTGTGTCGATATCGCGAAAACATCGTTAATAAGCATACAAAATATTTGCAAATAATTCAAATGACATGAAAGTTTACTTGAGCTTCATTAATACAATTTTGGTACGCTCCAAGGAAGAAATTATTGCGCACTTCAAACAAGTGATCCACGTCATCCGCTTTCGTCACCATTAAACTGCAAACAACGTCTAATTTAAATTTTATAAACTACTTGTTTATTTTTTACAATATGCTCAAAAATAACGTGCATCTCAAACGTAACGTGCGTGTTCAGAAATGACGCATCTAAAAACATAACACCAAATTATACAAGAAAATCCACATCATATACAACTCTCTAAAACAAGAGTGGCATACTGTCACGTGGTATACTGCTATGCAAATTTACAGATCAGTCATTGAAGATTTCGATGGTAGATCTTCAAATGTAAATTTACTACTTTATTTGTGATTTGAAATATTAACTTTTTATGGCATATAATATCAGCGAGCCAATCAATAAATTCTTATATCCTTATGGTATCTCTTTTTTTAATAACTGTATAATTCAAACTATTATCATACTCTCATTTCAAATTTTACTTGGTTTTTAAATTTCACTCTTTTTAAACATGCAAAATTTTAACATTGCAACTTTGTTTTATATGATTTGTCATGTTTTTTTGAAGTTCTATAATTTGCATAGAACTAAAAGAGTAGAAATAGTGATTGACAATATCTTACATTTCATTTGTATTCATCAACTTATAGCGTGCGATACATTCAATCAGTCTTATTTGCAGCACTGCATTTTAATTTATCAAATTATTGGTTTGCTTTTTCATTATCAGGCTAAAATTAACTGCACAAATTTCACCATAACTGATTTTAATATTATTTCTAAAAAGTTATCCTTTTTTAAATTATCAATTATTTAAAAAGATGAAATTTAATTTCATCTTACTTTTTAAATTGTCGTTATCAGTCGTTATCATTCATTAAATTGTCGTTATCAGTCGTTA